TCTGGCTCTTTGGTCCCGCCTCTCAACTGTCAATCAACAGGTGTACAGGTTCCTGAGCCTATTGGGCTCTATCATATCTACACATATCTACACTCTGACACTGAAAAAGTTCTTTCTAACGTCCCTGTGGCTCATTTGGGTATTCAGTGTCCACCTGTGTCGCCCTTGTTCGCGTACTTAACAGAGTTCTCTGTTAAACAGTTCATCCTTATCTACCTTGCCAATTCCTCTGAGAGTTTTGTACGTAGTGATCATGTCTCCCCTTACTCTTCTGTTTTCTTACTCTTACGTTACTGTGACTCTGGGCAGTAGTCCCAATAGACACGAAGTGGAAATTAGATCATTTGACGCAGCATTAGAGAAATCACAAGGAATAAATTACTGTAGGAGTTTATCCAGAGGTTTCCTGAAATTTATTGAGTACCTTTGACTCTGTAATGTATAACCAAACTTGTCTTAAATTCTGTGATAGAGAATTTTAACTAATAGGATGTTCAAATATAAATTTAAAGTGACATCCAATATAAGGCTTGTGTTGTCATCAGAAAGAATTTTCATTCATTGCCCAATTGTCAATTAATAGCATATAATTTGTGCCTAGCAGTTAGGAGTTAGATCAAATGTACCAAGAATTTACTCCAATTTGATAAGTTGGTTATTATTTTCCTCTCAATGGTTATAAAGTCGACAAACCCAGTGAATGAAATTAGAAGAGAAGAGAGTTCGGTAATGATGAGGGGAGAGATTGAGGTAATTATGAGGGTTAGAGGGGAGAGAGAGAGAGAGAGAGAGAACTAATGAGGAGTAAAGAGGGGAGAGAGAGAGAGACAGGAAGTATGTGAAAGGGCAATACCCATATTCCATTTACCTCATCGGAGACATCATTGGTTGTCATGGTGATGTTGACGTCAGCTATATGCAACAAGGCCCCCCACCCTCCTCTCACCCCTCTCACTCCTCTCACCCCCTCTCCCACCGTTATAAGAGACAACACATTGCTCTTCCCTCAGGCCCCCGGCTCCGCCAGACAGTTATTGTCATGTTCTCGTCTCGGCGACAAAGTTCACTATTGAACATGAGACAAATAACTACGATAAAACCTAATCTTCTGATTAGGTTTTATTAGCCAAACCTAATCGTCTGATTTTTGAGTCAGTTGCCCAATATTACGAGAATTAGTTCCACTTACATGATTTGTGTGATTAAATGACACTTCAACTGACTTGATTCTCCACCGGATTGAATAATCTCAAGTAAATTTCACCTAATGAACTAAATTTCACGGATTCTCTCTCTCTCTCTCTCTCTCTCTCTCTCTCTCTCTCTCTCTCTCTCTCTCTCTCTCTCTCTCTCTCTCTCTCTCTCTCTCTCTCTCTCTCTCTCTCTCTCTCTCTCTCTCTCTCTCTCTCTCTCTCTCTCTCTCTCTCTCTCTCTCTCTCTCTCTCTCTCTCTTTATGGGGGTTAACGATCGAACCCGGATGTTCCAAGTGGTTGGGCACCCTCCCCGTTTCTCTCCAGCCCGTCCTCATTAACAACGGCCAAATGCTCGTTTATCCGGCCACTTAAACCCCTTCCTTATGATTGAAAGACACTTGACAAGTGACTTTAAAAGGATTATGAACAGTGTTTCAATCGCTATCTTTTTGTGGTCGAACTGCACTTCTCCTACTGATTCATCCACTCAGAGTTCAAGTAATTGCTAACAGATCCAAAACACTTAACCTAACCTATTCTAGGACCATCTATCAACACACATTCTAACCTGTTAACGTATATGTATGAAAATGTAAATTTATATATATCACAGAATACGTACGAATACGTCTTTAGCGTCGAGTGCAGCTTAAACGAGCAGTTCTTATAATCAAGCTCATACTCCGTCCTCGTTATTATAATCCGTCTATACATGCCAGTGTTTAATGTGCCGTTATACCCTGTCTCTTATTCTGTCCCCAAAATCCCAGTTCCTGGTTCTGACAGTCTCTATGTGCTGTATACACGTACTGGTTTAACACTTTCTACTGTTTATTTCAATTTCATTCCTCTTGCTATTCGTTTACATCCATTTTCTCGCTCTCCTTCTACTCATCAATGCTACTTTTCGAATTCTTATAAATCATCCACCGTTGTTGCTTGGCGTCTTCTCTTGAGGTCGACTGAAACGTAAGACTCGAGAAGGACAGAGAGATGAGGAAAGGCTTGTAGGATGTGACTTAATCATTATAGCTGGTAGTGTTCTAATGACACCTGCTGGGACATGTTGATGATGAAGAGATCATCAGAATTACATTTGCTGTCAAAATAATAGCAACAGTAGCAACAGTAACAGCAATAATATGCTTAATAGTACCACTTTTACTACTAATACTACTGCTGATACATATTAATAATTTTAAGAATAGGAATAATAAGAATAATATTGAGAAAATCAGTAGGAGCCATGAGGATCCCAGGTACTCCCATGCAAACACTAGTGCATATGTTCGAATCCTTCTCATAACTCCAACTGATTTTTTCATTGATACATCATGCTAAAGTGATTAATTTGTGCAATATTATTACTAGTAGTAGTAGTATTGAGAAAATCCGTAGAAGCCGAGATGAGGGTTCGAACCTATGTGTGAAGGGTGTTTCCACGCACACGCTCTAGCGACTAGACCACGACATGGTAAATGGATTGTAACCCGGAGT